TCCACCTGCCTCTGCCTTCTGAGTGCTGGGATTAAAGGGAGTGCACCATTGCTGCCCAGCAAATTCAGTATCTTTAAGAGCATTCAAACTCTCTTTTAAAGTTAAAAGTTTCTTTAAAATATCCAAATATCTCTGTAAAATTCCAAAGTGGAGTCCTGTAAAATGGAAAATAAATTACTTACTTTTGTATACTTCGAAAAGGGAAAACCAAGGCAATTACAAACAGATCAATGCAAAACCAAAGTCCAACACTGTAAAAAGTTCAGTGCTGATGGCTGGGACCCCCCAATGTTTCTCTGGGACCCCCATGATTCTCTGGGACTCCCTCATGATTCTCTGGGACCCCCTCATGATTCTCTGGGACCCCCATGATTCTCTGGGACCCCCATGATTCTCTGGGACTCCCCCATGATTCTCTGGGACCCCCTCATGATTCTCTGGGACGCCCCATGATTCTCTGGGACCCCCATGATTCTCTGGGACCCCCTCATGATTCTCTGGGCCCCAAAGGGCTCCATCTCCCCACCTCTGCCAGCTTGTCTCTCTCCTGGCTCAGGCCAGCTCCACTCCATAGTGTTACTGTCGTTGGCAATTGTCCCATGCTACCTCCAAAACCCCGAGGTCTCTGCTGCAACAGGGCCGCACCTTCGCCCACGGCTTTTCTTGGGCTCTTTTCAGGGACTCTAACCCTGCCACATGGTGCCAAGTCTCCTTCAGTGAGTCCTTCAGTCCCGGGGCTTCTGCTGCAATAAAGGCTGCACCTTCAGCAATGGCCTCTCCCAGTGCCAATCCTTAGCTGCTCTCCATGACCCCTTCATACCTTCAAGACCAGTACCGACCAGGAGACTCTTACACATTACCAAATCCAGCTAACAAGGCGAGGTACCGTCTTGGTCCCCTGGACCACAGATTCTTACAGACCCTGCGGAAACACTAGGAGATTTCACCTTAGTGATGATATTCTCCTCCTCCTCCTCTTCTTTTTAAGACAGGGTCTCACTGTGTAACTCTGGCTGTTCTGGAACTCACTCTGTAGACCAGGCTGGCCTCAAACTCAGAGATCCACCTGCCTCTGCCTCCTGAGTGCTGGGATTTAAGGCAGGTGCACTACTGGCTACTTCAGGGGTTCTTAATTAAAACTATCGGAATCTTGAAGGGACTCTCAAATTTCTCCCGGTAACGTCACAAGCCGGGCCTCCTTTGTCCGCACTGCTCTCAGTGTTATCTTCTAGTTCTCACGACAGCCCACTGAGCTCTCAGTGGGCCACGGCGTTTCCAGCCCAGAGTTCAGATGCCACCATAATCCTCCCTCAAAACACACGGTCAGGCCTGTGACAGCAATGATCCCACTCCTGGGGCAGAAAGGGTTTATTTCATTTCACAGATTGCAGATTCCGTCACTGAGTTGGAAGTCAGTGCAGAAACTCAGGGCAGGAACCTGGAGGCAGGAACTGAAGCAGAGGCCATGGAGGGAGCTGCGTATAGGCTTGCTCCCCATGGCTTGCTCAGCCTGATTTCTTTTTTCTTTTTTTGAGACAGGGTGTCTCGGTGTAGCTTTGCGCCTTTCCTGGAACTCACTCTGTAGACCAGGCTGGCCTTGAACTCACAGAGATCCACCTGGCTCTGCCTCCTGAGTGCTGGGATTTAAGGCAGGTGCACTACTGGCTACTTCAGGGGTTCTTAATTAAAACTATCGGAATCTTGAAGGGACTCTCAAATTTCTCCCGGTAACGTCACAAGCCGGGCCTCCTTTGTCCGCACTGCTCTCAGTGTTATCTTCTAGTTCTCACGACAGCCCACTGAGCTCTCAGTGGGCCACGGCGTTTCCAGCCCAGAGTTCAGATGCCACCATAATCCTCCCTCAAAACACACGGTCAGGCCTGTGACAGCAATGATCCCACTCCTGGGGCAGAAAGGGTTTATTTCATTTCACAGATTGCAGATTCCGTCACTGAGTTGGAAGTCAGTGCAGAAACTCAGGGCAGGAACCTGGAGGCAGGAACTGAAGCAGAGGCCATGGAGGGAGCTGCGTATAGGCTTGCTCCCCATGGCTTGCTCAGCCTGATTTCTTTTTTCTTTTTTTGAGACAGGGTGTCTCGGTGTAGCTTTGCGCCTTTCCTGGAACTCACTCTGTAGACCAGGCTGGCCTTGAACTCACAGAGATCCACCTGGCTCTGCCTCCTGAGTGCTGGGGTTAAAGGCGTGCGCCACCACCACCTGGCTCCACAGCAAGATTTCTTCTACACCTGGGAATCACCTGCTCAGGGGTGGTACCTCTCACAGTGAGCACAGCCCTCTCACATCAACAATTATCAAAGGAAATATCCCACAGGCAATCTGATGGAGTCATTTTCTCAATGGAGGTTCCCGACTCTCTAGCTTATGTCCAGGACACAAGATTAGCCAGCACAGTGACTATATTTGGGGGGATCTTTTGCCTTTAAAAACCAGAGTTTGGGCTGGGTTTTGGAGATAGTTCAGGCATTGAAAGTACTAGCAAGACAAGCCTGATGACCTGACCCTGGAACCTGTGTAAAAAGCTGCAGAGTTTTACTGCTCTTGTCTCTAAAGGACCAGGTTCCCAGTACCCACGTGGGACAGATCACAATTGCTTGTAAATCTATTTCCAGGGAATCTTATAGTCTTCTCCCTGCAGCAGTAGATACACACACACACACACACACACACACACACATCTGTGCATGCACATAATTAAAAATAAATCCTTTTTGCTGGGTGTGGTGCACACCTTTAATCTCGGTGCTCGGGAGGAGGCAGAGGCAGGCAGATTCTCTGTGAACTCAATGCCAGCCTGGTCTATAAAGTGAGTGCCAGGCCAAGGTGGGGCTACATAGGGAGCCTGTCTCAACCAAAGCCAGAACCAAACAAAGTAACACACAACAACAAATATTGTTTAAAAAGCTGGAAGCCTGTGATGCATCTGTAACTGCAACATTCCTACAGCAAGATGGGGTGCGGAGTCAGGAGAATTGAAGAGCACTATCCTGGAGCGGTGCACCACAGCGGCAGACACTGGAGATCCTGCACCAACAACGTAAGAGGCAAGAACCCACTCCTGAAAGATCTCCTCTGCCCTCCACTCCTTGCTATGGCACGAGTGCACCCACAATCTCTCATACAAGCACACACACATTAAGACAATAAATGATAAAAAGCAAACAACAAAACCATCCCAGAGCTTACTACAGAAAAGGCCTCAGCAGCAGTGAGTCAGGACAAGCTCCTTGTTGTACATCTCATCTCTCACCTTCTCAGATTAAGGTCCTCTTGGTTTCATAGTCTACAGTCATGTTATTCTTTATTGTTGGTTTGTTTTAGACAGGGGTTCTCTGGCTGTCCCGGAAAGGAACTGGCCCTGTAGACCACGCTAACCTCAAACTCGGGGATCCACCTGCCTCTGCCTCCTGAGTGCAGGGAGCCCGGCCAGCCTTATTATTCTTAAGGTAAACATGCCAGAGAAGACAAACTGGTGTAAGAGGATCTGGTGAGTGCATAAACCAGAGATGGTCAGGACAAGGGATAGAAAGGGTGGCCGCTTTCCAGCCTGTTTCTTGGAAGAAGATAAGCGTCAAGCTCTAGGGAAGAGCTATGTGTTCTCTTATATTGCATGCATTTAAAGAACGTGGTGTTCAGTGTCACTAGTGAAGAGTGCTTCTAGCGAAGCTTCTAATATAACTTATCACTAGTCTCAGGCAACGTCTCCATCACGCTAAAAAAAAAAAAAAAAAAAAAAAAAGAGTGTAAGGAAGGAGGGAACGTGGGTGCTCTTTCCTTGGGGTGCCAAAATCCATACTCATCTAGAGAGACTTCATCAGACCCGCCTCTGAGTAATTCCGTTTCTGTCCTTTGTCTTTCGACTCCCTAAAACGACCCAGATTCCAGGTGTTTCCTTTAGTATCTTAAAGGCATCGCTCTCTCTCCGCTTCCTTTACGGAGAACCGATCTTTTGAACCGGACCTCATAGAAACTATCCTCAGGAATCAGTTGAGCGGCACTGCAAGCTGGGTGCGTGTGGAGCGCTGGTGACTAGAAATAAGGATTGAGAGGTAGCAAAGGTTTTCGCCATCCACGCTCCAGGGCTGGCTCCGCCTGAGAAACCCCAGAGATTGATTCCCTTGCCCAGTGCAGCCGGAGTGTGGCCCTCGGCCCTCGGTTCCAGGCCAGGCCGTGCAGCTCGGGAGCCTCACACCTCCGTCCCCACAGCCTCCTCTCCACAACTCTGCCTCCGGATCTTCCAGCATCCCCCACCACCACACAGGCCCCCGCCCAGCCTCAGCTTCAGCACCAGGGCCGCTTCTGCTGCAGCCGCTGCCATGGCGACCGGGTCTCGCGAGAGCCGCCGCTCGCCGCCGCGCACTTCTCGCGCGATCGTGGAGGTGGGAAGTATCCCGGGCTTGGGGGTGGGGGTTCGCCGCCGCACAGCTCCTGTCGCCGTCGCGGCTTCCGGTGCTAGGTGGAGGGAAGGAAGGAGGGAGCGGAGGAGCGGGCCCGCGGACCAGCTTCGCGGCGGTCGGCTCGGGGAGCGCGGAGGCAGCGGCCCGGGAGCCAGGCGGAACCTGCGGGGGCGGAGGTGGCGCTGGCAGCGGCAGCAGCGGCAGCCGCGGCGCCCGGAGCAGGAACAGGTTCGGAGCTGGAGAGGGAGGAAGGCGGGTCCGGGCCGGGAAGAGGCCGGCTGGCTCAGGGTGGGAGCCGAGGAGCCCGGGTCCCCCCCCCCCCTTGCCGTGGTCCGGCCCCGCACGGCCCTGGCGAGGTGCGCGGGGGACGCTGCCCGCCGGGCTGGAGGGCGGGGGTGTCCCCAGCCCCGCTCCTGCCCCCGCAGCTGAAGGACGCCGAGCTGGGGTGGGGGCGGGGGGCGCACGCGGGTTTGTCCTCCGCCTCGCCCGACGGGGCGACCCCCGGGCTGCAGAGGTGGAGCTTTCGAGGGCTGGGGGAGGGGGCCGGGGGGGGGGAGGCAAGCTGACCAGGGGGAGGTGATGCGGGGGCGGTGTGGCTGTTTGGATCTTTTCCTTCTCTTTAAAGGCTATGAGGAATGCTGCCTTTTTTTTCTCCCCCCTCTCTCTCCCTCGCCTAAGCTGTGTGTGTATGGGGGGGAGGCGGGCAGGGGGGGGGGACCAAAGAAAAGCCTCGCTATGGTTATTCTTCCTCACCCATCGTGAGGCACGGGGATTGGGGTTTTAGCTTCAGGGCCTACTGGTGAGGCACCGCTGCGCACTGTTCTCATGTTCTGCTTTGGGGGTGCTAGGAAGGGCAGGTTGGGAAGAGGGCAGCAGGTGGGGAGAGGGTGGAGAGGAGGCTGGAGAAGGGGGAGGGGGCCCTGAGCTCGCTAGGAGGAGAGAGGTGGGGCCTTCCTCCCCCAGGCGTAGCGGGGGCGGTCTCACCGGAGGAGGGAGCATCTTGTCACTGGCCCTGAGTTTGTGTCTTCCAATCCGCTTTCTTTCTCTAGGAAGTCCCAGGATTCCCGGAACAGAAAATGAAGCCATTGCTTACGCCAATCCTTTGAAAGAAGGGGGGAGGTGGGGAGGTAAAGTTCCCTGTTAAAAACGGGCCACTTGATTAGTTAAGTGGTAACTCTCTTTGGGAGAGTCTTGTTCCTTTTTGGGGTTCTATTACTGCTGGTCTCTGGGCCAGGAAGAATGTGGTGGAGGAGTGTGTGGTCTGGAGAGAGAAGGAAATAGTGAGGTCATTAGGGTGAAGAGAAAGGTAATGTAAAACCTATTTCTGCTGCCGTTGGATTGGTTCACCCTTGGTCTGTGGCATGAAAGTTTTATTGGGAGATCTGCTGCAGGAGTCTGATCGCTTGACTCATGGCGACAGGATAGAATCCAGTCTCTGCATACCTCCAGTCAGGTAGATGGAAACTGTCTTGGCTGCCATTTTGCCTTAGGCCTGTTTGGGGGTAGTGTCTCCACTTGTCGGGACAGGCAGTGGCCAGAGGATGGGTCTTTTGCGTATTGGTCCTGAGTTTGAATAAATTGTTAAAGCCCATTTTAAGAAAGGCTCATCCGCGTAGGTTCGTCTTTGCACAGAATGAATCACTGACCTTGCAGGCAGCTGGGAAAGGAAGGCTCCATGTGGCACACACTCACCTCCTGCCAACTTGCACGGTTCTCCTTCCCTTCTCTCTCTTTCCCTTCCCCTCCCTTGCTTGGTTTTTTTTCCTCCTTTTCCTTTTTTGAGACAGATCTCTCTGGGTAGTCCCCTTGCTCCCCAGCAGCTGCCCGCCTCTGTCTCGAGTGCTAAGGTTAAAGTGTGAGCCCCCACAGCAGATCCTCACTTCCTTTTTGGAGACATGGTAGGTTTGATGTCAAGGATCTTGCTTTTAGAAGGTGAACACAGGGTAGGCGTGTGTGTAGAAATCTGCAAGGTTTCTAGCTGTGGTTCACGGAAAAGAGCAGGAAGGCCAGGTCTGGCGACGGGGACTGTAACCTTAGCACTAGGAAGAGGCGGCGGTGGCGGGGGATGGAGAGTTAGGCCAGGCTGGGTTACATAGCAAGACTATCACTAACAAAATAAAGTAAATACAAACGAAAAACCTGACATATTTGGAGGATATCAAGCAGTTGAGAAGTCTTGTCGGGTCTTAGGGTGATGCTGTGGAGTGTGTTCATCTTCTCCCTTTCCAGTATTTACGATGAGGGGAAATGGCCTTCAAGGACAGCGGCCATCTCTGTTCATTAGAAGGAGAAACTTCTTCAAAACCGGGTTTGTTAAAGCTGGGGTAACAGTGAATCTGCTTCCTCAGAACTGGAAACAGATCCTAAGAGACGCCCACACCAGGGGGTTTGGCTCCTTTCACCATTTGGTTAAAAGTGTTTTTAGAGACAGTAATTAAAGGTGGGCTCTAGGATCAGACAAAATGGGGGGGGGGTTCATCTGTTTATTGTGGACATTTGGTAAAATTTCTTGTTCCCAGTTTCATTGTCCTTGTGTGCAGAGGGTGATGGGGGCAGCTGCCTAACAGGGCTGTCATGAGAACTAACTGAGACAACATACTGAGTATTGTGCAAGACACGCACCAACACGTGTTTACTGCTATTAATAACCCGTCATCGTCGTAATAGCGATGACTGCGGACGCTTAGGACTGCCTCAAAAGAGAGGAAGTTCCCAAAGAGCTGCTTGGTGTCCGTGAGGAGGGGCAGTGGTTACAGGGACTTTATACAGTGTCTCACAGTGGTGACATCTCTCTCCCAGTGTCAGGTTAGAGAGCGCTTCTTGCTGCTTCAGCAGGAGGTGAAGGTGGAGCAGGCCAGGGCCCAGAACCGTCATCTTGGATGTGGAGACATGGGTGATACCGTAGGCCTGGTGAGATGGTTCGGGGGAAGAACTCTTGCCGCCAAGCTTGACGATCGAGTTTGATTCTGAGCTCCTGCCCTAGACCCACATGGTGGAAGGAGAGAACCGATTCTTACAAAGCTACTCTCTGGCCTCCAGACAAAAATGGTGTAAAAAGAAAATTTTTACTTATTTATTTATTTATTTATTTTTAAAAGAAAAGTCACTCTATAGCTGAGTGTGATAAGTAAGACATGGATGTGCTCCTAGTACTTGGGAGGTAGAGGCAAGATAATTAGAGGAGTTAGAGGATCAGGAGTTAGAGGCCATTGGATGCTACAAGAGACCTTGTTTAAGAAAAACGGGCCTGGGTGGTGTCGAATGCCTTTTTAATCCCAGCACTTGGAAGGCAGAGGGAGGTGGATCTCTGTGAGTTCGAGGCCAGCCTGGTCTACAGAGCGAGATCCAGGACAGGCTCCAAAACTACACAGAGAAACCCTGTCTCGAAAAAAGGGAGGCCCCAGAGGAGTTTGCCCAGTGGTTAAAGCTTGCTTGTTGCTGCTTATTTGGAGGACTGGTGTTCAGTTCCCAGCATCCATATCAGGAACCCACAGCACCTGTAACTTCAGTTCCAAAAGATCCAACAACCTCTTCTGGCCTCCTGGGCATTGCATGCACACGTGCACACATATAATTTAATTAAAAAAGAAAGGATGGGACCGAAGAGATGGCTCATCAGTTGAGAGCATTTGGTTCCCAGCACCCACCTGAAATCATCCTTAACTTCAGTTCCAGGGTACCCGGTGACTTCTGCCTCTGTGGGCACCAGGCAGGTACCTGGTGCTTGTACATGAGCATTCAAAACACGAAGACACGTCCATAAATCAGCCTTTTAAAGACAGGGTTAGCGGTGGAGCTCAGGTAGAGTGGCGCACATGAGCCTCACGTTCTGTCCCTGGCTGGGTAAGGTACCACAAACCATTGGGAGGTCAGAGGCAAGAGGATCAAAAATTAAAGATTGGGGCTGGAAGGATGGCTCAGTGGTCAAGAGTATAGGCTCTTCCAGAGAACCTGGATGTGATGTCCAGCATCCACATGGCAGCTCAAGCCGTCTGTAACTCCAGTTGTTGGGCATCTGACACCCTCTCTGGTTTCTGCAGGCACCAGGTACACAGGTGGTGCAGACACACGTTCAGTCACAGCACCAGAACCCATACCATAAATAAAAACTATTTTAAAACTTCAAGGTCATTCTCAGCTACACTTTGCATTTGAGACCAGCCTGGGATAAGTGAAATGACACCCTGGATTTTTGTTTTTGTTCTATTTATTTAGTTACTTTGTTTTTTTGAGACAGGGTTTCTCTGTGTAGCCTTGCCTGTCCTGGAACTCACTCTGGATCAGGCTGGCCTCGAACTCACAGAGATCCTCCTGCTTCTGCCTCTTGAGTACAGAGACTAAAGACATGCACCACCACCACCACCACCTGGCTAGACACCCTGTTTAGCAGAACACAAATCTGAGAAGTGACGGTGACTGGGAGGAGATTGAACATCCTGGTTGAGTTTAGAGATTGAGTTTTCCAGTATTTAGGATCCCCGTTGACAGTGTTTTCGTTTAGTTTTTTGCCCTTTTAAGAATGTCCATCTGCCGGGCAGTGGTGGTGCACACCTTTAATCCCAGCACTCGGAAGGCAGAGCCAGGCGGATCTCTCTGAGTTTGAGGCCAGCCTGGTCTACAAAAGCAAGATTAAGGACAGGCACCAAGACACGACAGAGAAACCCTGTCTTGAAAAAAACAAAAAAACAACAAAAAAAAAAGGTCCATCTCTGAGTTCCCGTTTCACAAAACATTGTGTTAAGGTCCAGAGGTTATGATGTCTGTAGTTCTCTATCAGGCCTTCTCCATTGGGGGGTTGGGGTAAAGAATTAAATAACACTTCTATAATAAAAGGAATTCGGGAACGTTTGGAAGGAGTTCCAAAAAAAGTGAAGACTTCCTTGGGCATGTGACACACCTTTAGTCCCAGCACTCCGAAGGCAGAGGCAGGTGGACCTCTGAGTTTAAGGCCAGTCTGAGTTTTAGTGACACCCTGTTTGTTTATTTTTATTTATGAGCATTGGTGTTTTGGAACTGGAGTTACAGAAAGTTGTGAGCTGCCATGTGGGTGCTGGGACTTGAACCTGAGTCCTCTGGAAGAGCAGCCAGTGCTGTAACCACTGAGCCATCCCTTCAGGAACTGAGACCCTATGTTTAAAAACCAACCAACCAACCAACCAACCAACCAAAATGAAGGCTTCAGGGACCAGTGAGACTTCAGGCTCAGCACAGTGATTCTCAGCCTATGG